TAATTCTTAGGGAATGTGGCTCGACGGGTCGACTTTGTTTCCAACTCAAGTAACCTTTTGCCGACGCTCTCACAGGAACGTTCGAGGCATTGTCCGGGGTAGCTACATGCGCGAACCGAAATGGCAGAGGCCACCAAAACTTTTTGCTCACCATTTTGCAGAATGTGATCAGCAATTTATTTGCAATGCGTGGGTAACTGCAGACGTACTCTAAAATCAAACCAACCTCTGCGTCCTCATCGTGGGGACAAGCAATTACAGTAAAGAACCACTAGCTCAGATGAGGTACAATGGAATGCACATTTCAAAACCGTTATTACAGCGCTGGTCTGTGCTAAATCTTTATATATTTCACAAAAGAGGCAACGGTAACAGAGACTCATTATGCCCTTCAAGGTAGTTCTGCTTAGAAGAAAGTCACACAGGCAAAGCTCAGTGGAAGATTCGCGAAAAGGAAAATTTGTTAAATATGGAAATGGCAATTGACTGATTAGCTGCACGTGGAAAAATCCTTCTCTCTGACTTGCTTTCGTAAACGGTCGCGCCACAGACGCAGTCGACGTGACGCCACTATTCTCGGTGTTTTACCCCTTGCTACCACTATTGATCACACAGCGTCATTATAGAGTCTTTCCAGCAACTTGGTGGACGACCGAGCGGGCGTCTATTTCTGAGGAAGATCCATCTGGCAAATTGGGATATGCACCTATCGTTTCTTCGAGTTATAAGCGGCAGTGAGTTCACACAAAATTGCTATTGCACCGGAGCACGTGCTCCAAGGGCTCCAAGGTAGACCATGCATATTCTGTTTTCCGTCGCCCTTTGCTTTCTCTTTAATTTCTTATTCTCAGCCTTGATGATAGACTAGCACTCCGCGGTATAATCGAGGCAGAGGGGATGGGACAATGAAGTCGATCAGTTCCTTCGTCGTGGACATGAGCAATTAGTTATCCAGCAGCAGTGTTTTGATGTGATTAAAACTTGCCATGTTGCCGTCCTTTCTTCTACTGACCACGTCTTTGTTGTTGTTATGAGAGCCCATTAGATGGCCGAGGGGCATACATAGGAAACGACTTCTCTACTACTTCGACGTCAACGGCGATGGTAGCCGCGGGGCAGTGCTCGGTGCAAATCCTTTCGTCCTGGAGATGTCTGTCTCCTGACCGATGGCGATTGACTCCTTCTGCAACTGCACACTCTCTGTTTGGAATTCTGCTGAGTCTTTGGCAAAGATGATGACATCTTTCGCAAAGAGCGGATGGGCGGCTCAGTCGATATTAATGGCACCCATAGAGATCTGACGTTTAAACAAGGATTTCAGGGCGTCGCGAAAAGCTTGGGACAGATAGTGTCTCCCTTGATGTCGGTTACGGTGTCAGTATTGAGCACC